CGATGAGGCTGCTGGGAATGAGGACCAGGAATGCACAGGCACCCTAGCCAAACAAGTGATGTCTCCTGTAGCCTCAATGTTTTGAAAATCGTACCTTGAAGAAAGTCAACATATTTGGAAATGATGCAGGAAAAGGCTGCAAAATGATGAAGATGTGGGAGATACATCTGAAGATGAGGGGGGAAAATGACAAGAGAACGGATATAGATGCAGCGACACAAACACACAGAAGCCAGATGCCAGGATGAGTTTGCTCCTAGAGTCCGCCGCCAACTACACATTGACTGATAATTCACGTAGTCAACTCATTTACCTACAAATTACAATTCTTATCTTCCTGTCAAACTTGAACATTTGTACGAAGTTACCAGTCTCTAAGTTGCTGTTGGGGTGAAGTTGACCTCACTGTTGGTCTGGCTCTTTCTTTGCTTCCTCTGTGTGGCCTCATGATCCAGACAATTAAGAACCTGTCGCTTTTCTTATCCCAGATGGGATGCAATTCAACACGCGCGCGCGCACACACACGGGATTGCTCATGATTTCGGGACGGCATTATCGATTCCACAGCATGGAGAACCGCGCCATCTCCATCCCAGCCCGTGTGGGGCGGGGTCAGTGGCCAGAGGACAGCATGTCCCTTTTGCCACCAAGAATGCGGAAACGCTGTGCCTCGGCAGTCATCCTTCGCCCTGGAGCCCTTAGGGTCCGACACGGGTTACTCAGTGACAACCCACTCGAGCTCTGAGGGTCGGAGGGCTTGCCTTCAGCGTCCACCCTCACACTGTCCCCCTCAGCCCACAGCCCAGCTGGAGTTGGGCCCAGGCAGGGGCGGGTGCTGTTGGGACCGGCAGGGCACAGCCCTAGGCCACCCTGATGAGAACCCTGAGCATTTCTGCTGGGGACTCAAGTCCACCCCAGCCCAGCCGTGACCTGAGCCTTGAGGTCACGGGGTTCTGCTTGGGTCCTGGGCAGGGGAGTTACCAGCAGGATGTGCAGGAGGCATGAGGAGCCCCGATAGAGGTGTGAGGTTCCCATGCTGGTTGCCTGAGCGCCTGTCACTGCATCGCCAGCAGCTGCAGTAATGCTGTTTGCAAGGGGAAGCCGGGCATCTCCAGGGAGGAGCACATTTGTGTCCCAGGTGCAAATCCAAGTAGGAGGCCTAATGAGCAGCAGGTACTGCTGGGAAGGACATGTTGTCCCTGAGCCCCCTGGAGCTGGCGCCAGGGCTGTGGGCTGTGTCCCCTCCAATGGGGTTGAACCTTGGTGACTGTGAGGTGACCTGGGATTGTCTGCAGAGCTGTGTAGCCTCCGGTCCCTTAGTTCCCCACGCACACCCGTCCTGCCGGGTCTGTGACCCCTCGGGTCTCCCACAGCCTGGTAGCCCTGGACAACTCCAGCCCCACCCTCACCCCAGCAAAGATGCCTTGTTTTCTGGAAGTTTCCACAGTCATGCATTTGCATTGTAGATGTGTACATCTCAGAAGAGAGGCAGACATGTGCCTGGAAGAGATGTGAGTGGGGCCTCCTGTGTCCACACCAGGGGTGAGTCAGGGGCACACCTGTGCAGTGGGCAGGAGACACGGGGTGGGCCCGACCTGCCCATAGGACTGAGTTGCAGCCGCCTTTGTGGGACTAGAGCAGACAGGCATGGGCGAGGGCCCTCCGAGTCTAAGGAGAGGAGACAGTGCTGACTGAACCCTCGAGCTGGAGCCTGGCCCAGCCTGTATCCCTTCCTGGTCCCCTGGGCTACAGTGCCCCGAAGCCTGGCCCAGTGAGAAGGCCAGCGTGGACTCTGCTGGACCCCTGAAACGGGATCGGGCTTCTGGAGAAGCCAGTCAGGGTGGTCCTGGGACACTGACCTCGGCAAAGCCATGAGGACATGCCACCAAACACAGGCAGAGGCCGGCCAAGGGGCTCGGGGTGGAGCCCGAGCTGCAGCTGGACTCAGGCTGCCTGGCACGTGCGCACGCAGCCCCACGCCTTCTGCGTGGTCACCCAGGGGCGAGTGCCTCTCAGGAAGGGTGACCATTCATCCTTGCTGAGGACCATGTCCAGCCCGGGCTGGTCCCACTCTGCTCACTGTCCCTGACCCTGTCTGTGGACCCACACTCACCTGGCCCTTAGTGCCAGACCAACTGTGGGCTTGAAATGAAACATCCGGAGTAAAGCCAGCCCCGGGGAAATTAGGCGAGGGGTGTGGTGCAGGGGGCGGTGGGGGGCGGGGCTGGGGAGCAGGTGCAGCCGGCCTGTGAGGAGCAGAAAAGGGTGCTCAGACAGCGGGGTGGCCGTTCTTGTGGAACCACTCCTTGTGAGCACATCGCTTAGACTGCACACTGGGTTTGGGGGCGCAGGGCTTCTGGGCCCAGTTTACTGAGCTCCCAGGTCCAGCCTCACAGGCTCTCAGGAGACAAAGCCAAGTCATAAGCCCAGGTATTTCAGTAATGCTGTAAGCTGTAAAAATGAGAAATTTTACAAGTGACAGAACAAAAACCCTGGGAGGTTTCTTCCATGTCCAAAAGAATGTAGCTTGTCAATGGCAGACCCAGGCTCACATCGTTTATACAGGCTAGGAGTTTCCTCTGGCAGAACTACTGCAATGCCCGTGAAGGAGTGCAAACAAGAAAAGGAGCCATTCGTGGCTGACGAGTTAGAGTCCCCGCTGACTGCCAGGGGCCAGGCTGGATGAGCAAAGTAAAGCCTCCTGGTGTCGGCACAGCAGTCTAGATTATTTTAATTCCATTGTTATAAATATTCTACATAGAATTATTTATAACTCTGTAAAACTGTTCCATGGTTTTCTCTAGTACGTTTTTTTCCTAAAATGAAAATGACTTTGTTTGTTGCAGCTTACTTAAACAATAAAGAAAAATAAAGTTAACTGAAAATCCTACCCCAAGGAATAGTAATTGCTACAACTTTTAAGTATATACCCTCCCAGACATCTCTCTCTGCACATTTCCTTTCTTCTACTTTCTCTGGATTTAATTTACGGTGCTGGGTTCTTTACATGGGTTCAAAACTTTTGAATTGCCAGCTTGTGTCCTCTCCTAATATGTGCATTGAAGATGGTACATTTATCTTGGAGTTTTGGTATGTAGTACCATTCAGTTCAAATTATTTTCTAAATAAAATAGTGATTTAGTTTGGGGATTAATTAGAAATGTATTTCATAACTTCTAAATGTAAGGACTATCCAGTTACCTTTTGTTACTGATTTCCAGGTTAAATGTAACTGAAACAAGAAATGTTACTTAATATCAATTCAATCCTTTGAAGTTTGTTGAAGCTTGTACCAATGTGCTTCTCTGTGGCGCGTCGTGTTCCATTTGGGAACAGTGCAGATCAGCAGGAAAAGTTGTGGGTATAGGGGGTCATCTAGGAATGTTGAATCCGATGTTATTTAGATGTGCATTTCCTCACTTTTAAAGATAAGGACTTTTTAATGACCCTTTGTTACTGACGTCTAGATTAACTACATTTCAACAATATGCTTTATGTAATTTCAATTTTTTGTAGTTTGTCGGAATTTGTTTCACAGTACAATATGATCCCGTAAAAAATACTCCAGGTTTGCTTCTCTTCTGCCCTCTGGTGTTCACATTGGGAACGACACCTTGGTGCAGATCAGAAGGAAAAGTTGTGGATACAGTGGGTTATCCCTAAATGTTGAATCCAATTTTGCTGCTCATGTTAAATTACATTTTTAAAAGATTTCCTTTATTTATTTTTAGAGAGAGGGGGAGGGAGGGAGAAAGAGAGGGAGAGAAACGCTGATGTGTCAATATGGGTAAAAGATAAATCAGTCGGTTGCCTCTCACATGCCCCAAACTGAGACTCTGGCCCGCAACCCAGGCCTGTGCCCTGACTGGGAATTCAGCCGGTGACTTCAAATGGGTGTGGGCCAGGTTCCCATTTGGAGGCACGTGAGAGGCGAAAAATAAATGTTCCAAATGAAAAGTAAACAAACAAATCTAAAAAATTAAAATAATTTCCATGTGGATCTGCATCTATTACTGGACTTTCTATTCTTTTCCATCAGTTTGTCCATTCACAGGGCATTACTCCACTGTTTTACTTACTATAGCTTCATAATACAATATACCTTTTAATTCTTCCTTATTTTAACAGGTGAACTTAAATTGAGCTTTTTTACTTTAAACAATTTTACTGAGTCCTGGCCAATGTGGCTCGGTTGGCTGGAGCATTATCCTGTTAGGTAGACTAGAGAGCAGACCCGGGCAGGAGGAGGAGGGAGACCCGTCTCGCCCACTAACTCAGCAGCCCTGAGCCTGGTCTGATGATATGGCCAGGTGTTCGAAACATCCCGGGAAACACCATGATAACAAAGGAGGACGGAGCCCTTGAAAGTCTATGCATTGTCTCCACTGTCTGGGAAAGAAAGGCTTTGAAACTGTGTATTCATTCCAAGACCTGGTTGGTAGTGGGGAGGGGGTCCACGGTGCCCCAAGAAAAAGCCCACAAAACGACTTTGGTTAACTGCCTACCTCTGGTCACCATCTGTTTTACTAGGGAGTCCCTGATGTTTACAGAAAGAGCCCATAAATAACTTTGGGTAACTGCCCCAACTTTAATTAACTGCCTCCTTTCATGTATCCGTTTTACAAGATGAAGAAATGGGGTCTGGAGTGAGATAAGGATTTGGGCTGACAGAGCCCCAGACATCCCTGCATGTGGGTGGTCACGTCCCCCCAGGGCAACCTGGCACCATCTCTGCCCATCAATCCACAGGCAACTGCCGCACCCCCCCCCTGCCCGCTGTGTAACTCCGCAGGACGAGGGCCTGATGTTGTTGCCGCCGCCGCCCTGGCTTCCCCCGCCCCTGCCTGTTGCCGCCCTTCCCTTGCCTGCCCTGTGTCAGTGTCCCTCACCCACGCTTGGCAAGGCCCGTGCTGTCCCATGAGAACAGATCACTAACAGACCCTGCCTGCACGCCAAGAGGTTTGCTGGTCTGTGATTCTTTTTTTTTTTTTTTTCTTTCTTCAAGGAGAGCGTAAACGCGGTCCCCCGCTACCGCGAATTATGCAGTCAAGTTTCCCGCATTTGGGGAAATTGCAGGGGCCAGCACATCCGGAGAGCGATGGACAAGCCTCGCCCTGGGAAAACACCTTCGTGGTCATGCTATCTCCCCTGCCAGGTAAGTATGATGGTCTATAATTCTTACTGCATTGGCAAGAAGAACAGAGTTTCTCCTGTAACAATCCCATAAACGGAAAGGTTGTAGCTAGATCTCTAGTCAGGGCACATGCCTAGGCTGCTGGTTCGGTCCCTGATGGGGATACTTAGGAGAGGCAACCCTTTGATGTTTTTCTCTGACATTGATGTTTCTCTCCCTCTCTCTCCCCACCCCTTCCCCTCCCTCTAAAGTCAATACACATGTCCTCAGGTGAGGATTAAAAAATTTGTTTGCTGATATTTTAATCCAATCATATTAAATTTATAGGTAACTTTGAGAAATTGAAATTATTTTACATTTTTCTAAGAACATGCCATTCCTTTCCTGTTATTAAAGTGTCTTTTTAAAAAATGTTTTATTTATTCATTTTTAAAGAGAGGAGAAGGCGGGGAGGGAGAGAGAGATCGATTAGTTGCCTCTCGCACACCCCCAACTAGGACCGAACCCCCAACCCAGGCACACGCCCTGATCGGAAATAGAACCCGGAGCTGGACCTCCAGGTCTGCGGAACAATGCCCAAGCCACTGAGCTGCCCTGGTCGGTGTTGTTCAGGCGTCTTTTTTTGGGGTAGCGTTTTATGGATTGGTTCATACGGATCTTGCACATTCTTGTTAAGTTTATTTCCAGGTATTTTACCTGTTGTGTTGCTATTGGGTCTTTTACAAAATTATAGCTTTAACTTTTTGTGTATATAAAGGATAATTATTTATGCATGTAATTTCCCCCCATGTAATAATGTAAAAGTTGGTACTAATGACTTATCAAGGAAAACTATTATGTAATAGTAATGATCACATTATTTTCGTTATATATAACATAAAAATAGCTAAAGTGTGGAAGGAAACATGAAGAAATAAGGTAATGTGAACGGTTAGAAAAGTTCTTTTTGTTAGTTTTAAGTTCACTAGCGATTAAATAAAGTAGCAACAGCATTCTTAGCATTTTAAATGAATTTAAGGCCTAGATGCATGGTGTTCTAGAAATCAGGAGTATTTCGTAAGTGAAATTGTGCCCCATATAGGTAATGAAAAGAACTTATGGTAAATATCCACGTTTTCAAAAGAAAAATTTTACATGGTGAATTCTGGAAACTAAAAGACTAATATCGGTTCTTAGTTACAGGATAGAACGGTTATCAAAGAGTGACTTATGAGCAATGAAAAGAAGCAGGGACCCTCAGATGCCTACTCCGGTTTATCACAGTGGGATTCAGTCTTCTAAGCTGTCAGACCTTTTTTGCCTCCTGACTTTCTGAGGGTGTCTTCTCAGCCTAGGATACTCGCCAATCTTTGCGAGACGGCTCCCTTTTTTTTTTTTTTGTTGTGTCGTTCTTTAGGTCTCAATTTGTATGCTGTCTGTTCAAACAGAGAGGCATTGTTTCAGATCTAGGGTGCAAAGTGACATGCCTTTTCTATTCTAAGAGATTTCTCGTTGAGTTTTAGGTAGAGCAGGGTTTCTGATTCTCAGAACTGTGAAGCAGGGTCGATAGCAAACCAAGGCTTGGAGGGGGAGGGAGACAGGTCCCATCCATTAATTCAGCAGTCCTGAGCCCAGTCAGGTAGGATTTTCAGAGGTTCCAAGGTCACAAGAGAGAGCAAGGTAAGTGCAGCAGCAGGAGGGAAGCCTTTGAAATTCTGTGTATCGTTTTCACTGTCTGGAAAGGAAGCCTTTGAAACTGTGTGTTAATCCCGAGGTCAGAGAAGGGAGGAGGAGGGGAAGCCTGGTGGCTCGCTGCGAGCGCAAAACCCCTAGAACCCCAATAAGCCAGGGCGCTCAGACTAGCTGGGTGCAAGCTTGCAGATTCCTGTTCAGGTGTATTTCACAAAAAACTTGCTCCCTCACTGTCACTATACTTGCTGTCCCTTGCCTGAATTCATCCTTCCGAGCATGACAAGAACTGAGGAGGGGAAGCCCCCTAACTCCCCTAACTTGGGTCTTCCCTGTAGCGGTGCTATTTGCCCTTGGGGCCCCATAATTCTTCCTCTTCGGGGATTATTTTCTGCATAATAGGTGCTTATTAGCATCCATTTCCTCCATTCACTGCCTTCCGGGACCACCCTCCCCTACCTCTGCCCCATGACCGTCTGAAATGTTCCCATCCTTTACCTAATGTCCCCTTGGGGGCAAAATCACTTCTGCTTGAGAACCACTGACCTTGACGCTTTGATCGTTTGTGGAATCTGAATGATCTGGGATTGGTATGCAGTGTTTTTGCTATCACTCAGTTCAAATTATTTTCTGACTTCAATTGTGATTTGTTCTGGGGGGTTATTTAGAAGTGTATTTTATAACATCTAAAGAAAAGGACTTTCTCGTTACCTTCTGTTCCAGATTTCTAGATTGTTGGTAATGAGAGCAAGTAACATACCTTATATAATTTCATTCCATTGAAATTTGTGGGAACTTAGCTTTATAGCACACTATGATTTTTTTTTCAACTTGAGTTATTTTATTTTGCTCTTTTCAGTCCAAAGCTATAACCAAGGGCATTTACAGTTATACAAATGACACAGAGAAGAAATACCAAGACACTCGAGGGAGATGCATGGCAGAGACAAGCCACAGTTAGGGGGGTTGGCCGGGGCAGGGCGGGGAGCCAGGGGTCAGGGGCTCGGTGGCTCCTCATAGGCCCCTACCTTCATCCCACCCCTAGACCCAGAGTCCACTCAGACAAGGAGCATGGATCCTGCCCGAGGGGGCGTAACAGCAAACACCTCGGGGCCCTGATCCCAGGTGCCCCTTTGGTGGGGGGAGGAGGAGGCAGCCATGGCCTTGAGAAGCCGTGCCAAGGCCGCAGACCCTCGGGTCCTGCCTGGCTGTCAGCCCTCCAGGGCTGGGAGCGGAGCTGGAAGTCGGAAGGCGGGCCTCGCCTGTCTCCAGCAGCCCCCTGCCCCTCGCCTCCCTGTCACACCTCTCATATCCCCTCTGACTGTTTCTGAGGGGAGCAAATTTCCCCGTCCTGAGTCAGGTCTGTGCAATTGTACGTAGAGTTCAGCTGGGATGTCCGGCAGCCCCAGGACGTGTCACCGCATGTGGGACCCACTGGAGGAGATCCCGACACCATTACTGAAACCACGCCGCCGCCCTTCCCAGGGTCCCTCTGATCTAAGTCCTTTGCCCGCTGCCCTTGAAGATTTTGGCTTTCAATGGCAGAGTTTACTAAAAAGGAAAGGGAGTATTTATTCCAAAGTTACACAGTTTTGATTAATGGCTAAATGTTGCTGTTAAATCTCAAAATCCCTTTAAAATGCCCACGAACACACACAGTCCTGCCTTCCCCTCCTTTGCCCAGTCAGGCCAGTCAGGGGCACTTCAGAAGAAAGAGAAGTCTGGTAGGCAGGTCTCTTGCTCTTCCCAGCACCATCCGCTGCGTCGCCGCGATCTCCAGCTCTTAATTCAGGGCCACGTGGCACCTTCTCACGGCCCAGGAGCCAGAGTCCGTTCTCCCTTCTCCTTCCCGCATGGTCTTCACGTTTGTCCCCCCTTGGAGTGGAGCGAACCATCGCAAGCTCTCCTGCTCACGCGCCGAGACGGGGGAGCTGCTCTGCATGGCCGCTGCGTCTTGCTTTCCTGCTTCCTAAGCTGCGTGATCAAAGGAGTCCCCGCTCCACTCCCAAAACTGTGTGGTCAAAAGCCTCTAGCATGGCTGCCTTGACTGAGGCCTCCCCAGCAACCCCATCTCACTCCGGGGCATCCTGGGGAGCTGCCGTGTCCAGTTCCCTCCTGGGTTAAAGTTATGCAAACCTTCCGGATTAGCCTTGTTGAGATGCAAAGTCATCATCTTTGCATTTGAGGTGTGCAGCTATCCTGCTGTTACTGACATGCAAAATGACCCTTGGTTCCCTGTGGAGCTCCCTGTGTTGGCTCCCATGGCAGCCAGGCCTCGGTGAGGGGAGAATATCCTCTATTTTTTCGTGGACCCTCCAAATTCTGGACTGCAGTCTAAGTCCCTTTTGTGGGGGGCCGTGACTGCTCTGTTACCGTGAGACCCTGACATCCGCCCCCGTCACCTTGGGGGTCGTGCTGGGTTTATTGCTCAGGACCATTTAAACAAGAGAGTAATGTCCAGATAACACCTTCACATTTTTGTTACTGGGAATAAGGGCACAAACCCCTGCCATTCTCTGTCTGTGTCCTTGCATTTCTGCCTTGGGACCAGAGGACACAGGTTGTGGCTTCATACAGACAGGGGAGGACTTCTCAGCTATAACAAGCCCAGCAATAGTGGCCTCTCCTTTCAAAAGACATTGGCTCCCGCCCTCCTCCCTCGCAGTCTTTGCTGGAGGTGCAGGCACCCCCTCGCCACCAGGAGGACAAAACACAGGTCCAGGAAGATGGAACAGAGAGGCAGCTGAGGCGACGTGCCTCGCGTGGCAGCCGGGCCGTTGTGTCTAGACAGTGTGACGGGAACCATAGTCCGGTCGTGCTCTTGAACGGTTCTTGCTGACCTTTCCGGGAGTGTAGCTGAAGGCGTTTCTGCCTCACAGGTTTGAGACCAGGCAGGTGAGACAGGCAGCACATGCTGCTCAGTGACCTGGAACTGATGATTTTTCTTGGTCAGCCAAGACCCTGAGCAGAGACCTGAGGACTTGGGTGGTCTGGCTACTGTCTGGACAGGAGCTGAGTACAGGAAAAGCTATTTGTCGTTGCAGCTGGACTGTCACAGGAAGAGTGCCTGTACCCACCCACCGGGCCCCTGCGATGGGAATTGGTGGTTGCACTCAGAGCCCCTCCCCTTCCCCCCAGGGCAACCGCATCAGGTTTCTGTCGTGGGCTGTGGGAGCCACTGCCTGGGAAGAATACTGCCCTTGCCCTGGGGCGCAGAGGGTAGGTCAGTGCGTCCCAGAGAGGCCCAGAGGGTTCTAATGAGTCACCCCGCTGAGGACCACTGGCCTGAGTGACACTGCGGCTCAACACAGTGATGCACAAACCACCAAGGAGCGGAGTTCGGGAGACGTGCACTGTCTTTTGCTGGACACGGGCAGGCTGACAAAGGGAGGGTCGCTGTTGCTGTCAGTGAGTGTCAGTCCAGCTGTCACTGTAGAACTTAAATCGTCACCTCACAGGTTGTCCGCTTGAATATCGGGGTGCACACAGGCACGCTCTGCAGACACGTGTGGTGCTCAGCCGTGGGGATTAAAGGAAGGTTTGGCTCCCCCACCCAGGGCCACCCAGAGAGCGGACGAGGAGCGCCTGCAGCGCCCACCTGGAAGGACCGTCCTCTCCGTTGAACGACCAGCTGCCGGGTCGGGTCCTGTGAGGTGCTGAAGGCGAGGCTGACGGGCGGCCCCACGGCTCAGCGCTCCACTCAGAAGCCAAGTGTGGTGATTTCAGACCGTCCCCTCCCAGAACTGACCTGAGGAGACTTCACCTGGATTGGGATATATCTGATCAGTATATCCCCAGTCCCAGCACCAGATAATGGGTCCTGGGAAACCTTCAGGTATGTGTTCAACACTTATTGTGGTGGGCGATGCTGGGAGTGTTTTCTGTTTTCACGAGAGTGTGGTCTCGTTTTGTGAGAAGCAGAGCCATTTCATCTTGCTACATACAGGGCCAGTCTTGTTGGGGCACATTTCTGATTTACTCTGGTGATTCCTTCAGAGTTACTCTGCCCAGGGTTCAAAGTCAGCCTGTGGGCACCAGCAGGACCCTGTCTGCAGCAGGTGCCCCTTCTGATTGTTTGGTGCATGTTCTAATTAAGAGTATTTTCTGATTGGCTGGTGTGTGCTCTGATTAGTAGGTGTCTACTCTGATTGGCTAATGTCTGTGCCCACCAGCGGGGACAAATATACATGGACTGCAACACCCAGTGGCCCCTCCTGCCACCCACTCTGTTGGTCTGGCCCAGAAGTGAGCGTACTGATGATGCCCCTGTGCCGGTTGATGGTGAATGTGTTGTGCTGAGACACCGGTAATGTGAGCCGTGGCTGCTCACAGTACCACTGTAGGTGTTCTCATCGCCAGCTGTGTCCATGGCTGTGACTTGCATCCTGGTGGTTTGTGCAGGAAAAAGTAGAGGGGAGTTGGTATCTCAACAGCTAAGAGCCAGCGTGGCCATACAAATGAGCACAGCAATCTAAAATGCAGTGTGTTACCATTTTAGTCTCCTCACTACACAGATGATAGTACTGCACATGCAGTGGCATACGCAGTATAATCCACCAAATTATTGTAACAATTTCAAAGTTACTGCTTTACTCATTTAGAAATATTTAAAGCTTCTTTTGACGTGGCTGCAGTTGTGAGAATAGTGTTCCTCATTAACATGAAACTACCAGGGGTGTGAGGGAAGGGGATGTGGTCATCCCGGGTCTCATCCCTCCACCTGTCCCACTGCTCTCGCGCCCTCTCTTCCTCTTTCCCTGAAATGACAGGGGAGTCCTTTCTGGACACTGGCTTCACAAGCCAGAGGGAAGAGCTGGGTAGGGGAGGGGGTGAGTCCTTGTTGCTTAAACCAAAACTCTGACGTTTGGTCCGTGAGTGGCCCTGATGTGGCTCTTCGCCTCATGTGCTGGGCAGGAGACAGTCGGTGCTGGCTGGTGAGCAGGGGTTTGCTGTGGGGACAAAGCCACCATGGTGACAGAAAAGGGAGGACAAAGGGGGAGAAAACAGTTGTGACTGCCACTGGCAGACAAGAGTGATAGGAGATCAACCCATCAGAATGTCCTTTCATGCAGAATTTTCTGTTTCTTTTATTTTTCAGCTCCTGCGTATGCTCTGAGCTCAGAAGCTTGCCTGTCATGTAATCTTCATGCCCAGCGAGTCTCAGAGCTTGTCCATGGGCACAGACCTTGTCCATAATGCATACAGCTCAGATCTGTGTCCAGCCCTGTCTACCTCCACCCTCTTAAATTTTGTGTGCAGTCCCTGGAATATGAAAGGGGCTTAAAAAGGCTGAGTGAATAACTTCACAAGACAAGTGGCTGTCTGAAATATTTAGAAAAGGAGAGAGTCACCCCTGGTTCTAGAATCCTCAGAAGCCATATAGGAGACCCTCGCAACAGCATGGATTGCTTCTCACCATCCAGGGTTGTTGTCACTTGCAGACACCGTCTTTCCCTTCTTTTAACAAACACCAAAAGGAGGTTTGTCAGCCCTGGCCAGGTGCTGAGTTGGATGGAGCATTGTCCCATAACTGAAAGGTTGAGGGTTCAATTCCTGGTAAGGACATGTATGGAAAGCAACCAATCAGTGCTTCCCTCTCGCATCGATGTTTCTCTCTCTGTCCCTTCCCCTATCTCTAGAAGCAATGACAAAAATGTCCTTGGTTGAGGATTAAAAAAAAAAAAAAAAAAAAAAGAGCTTTGTCAGCACCAGGGCCAACGATGCTGTAGAAAACCTGGAATGTCTCATTCTTGTTTGATTTGATCTGAAGATGACACAGAAGCAGAACTTGCAAAGAACCATCCCCATCAGGTCTAAATCCCCCTCAGCGGGGCTCCTTGAATGAGACCAGAGTTTGCCCTTTGCCATTCCTGAGCTACATTTTTGGGAATGGGCTTCAGTCATTCACTGGGAAGTAGATGGGAAGGATATCTCATTCTCTCCTTTGCCTCTTGAGACTGAGGTGGGCATTGGGGAACATCAGTACATCCATCTTATGTCCAGAGAGAGCTTCCTATAAGAACAACGAGAGAGACCGTAGCACAAATCTAACTGTCCAGTGAGCCCAGCGGCTGTCGGCACTATGCCAGCCTGTCGGGAGGGCTTGAGTTTGTTGCCGTCCTGACCTGCCATTATCGACTGCAGTTTCTGGGGCATCTTGGGGGCTCTCCTAAGAAGGCATCACCTGGGCAAAAGGCTGCACGACCAAAGAGAGGTAGACTAGGGCAAAGAGGACAGTGCCCATGGTCCAGCCCAAGAGCCACTATACAATGTCCTGTTTCTCCTCTGCTCCCCAGAAAACGGTGTCCCCCACCCTCACCTAAAGGCCTCACGGATTTTGAAACACCTTCCTCAGGAGAAGAAGGCTGAGAGAACACTGACATTCTGCAAGGCCTGAAGATGGAGTGTATGCTTTCTCCCTAAATGCAGGAAACTGGAGAGCTTTCCTAAGCCCTGAAATGCGTTGCACATACTGCACATTCATGTCAGTACCAGAACAAGGCCAAGATGTGCTATACAGACTCTCTGGAAACGCCCTTCTTGCTCAACAAGAAAGGGTTGGTAAAACCTCAACCCAGCCTGGGACGGAGGACACAGTGTAACTGAAAGCTGAAGAAAGGCGTTCAAGGCATATGGAAGGGAAGGAGATTACTGAGGAAGTCAGATGGGGCTCTGTACCGTTTGTAAAGGAAAACCGTGCAGGTGTGTCCATTTGTGCGATGAACAGAAAGCTCTAACTCGTGGTATTAATTGATGTTCCTTCTGGATTATGGATTTATGGGTGGTTTTATTTTCTGTATTTCCTAAACTCACTTTTTAAAAAACCACCACTGCACATTATCAGGAAAAAACCCAATAATGTTCCCATCAAGTATGAGTCTGCAAAAGATGATTTTAAAATGCAAATTTCAAAATGTTACAGGGTTTTCTCGGGATAATGAGTTTAACAATCTCTTACTTTAAAAAAATTATTTTTAAAAAAGCTTTCCTTAGTAACTTTTAAGAAGTCTGATCATTGAAGACAGCATCTGTGGCTGACATACCTCCCAAAGGGCAGTTGTCAGAGGCTGGGTCAGACCCTTTCCAGGGAATTAAGACTGGGGCCAGTCCAGGGATAAATAAGGCAGGGTCTGGGAGTCAAGAGAAATCTGTTAAGTCTCAGAAAGGCTTACCTGACCCCAGTGGTTGGACGGCAGTGAGCTGTTCTGTGTTCTTGGCTTACCATTCTGGTGAGTGACCCCCTTACCTGCCAAGTTACGGTCCCCAAGCCAGCCTGCAGCTCCTTTACCTGCGTGGAAGGCAATCAGAACATAAACCAGGTGGGACTGGCCACAGTTGTGGTGGCCACCTTGGTCACAGAGTCGAATATGTGATGGAGGCAGGTGGCCGTGCCGTCATGCCGCTTCAGCCACTGATGTCCTTTTTGCCAAAGGACTATCGACCTTCCCCATCCAGGTCAATCGCAGTGTCAGGTGGAGGGGTTGGGAAGCCAGCAGGTGCAGCTGGAGTGACTTTGGAAGCCCATCAGGTGTCATAGACAAGACAGTGACCTCAGCTGCCTGTCAGGGACAAGAGACTCAGAATCTAGCAGATGTTGGGCTGCACTCACTCCTTGGAGCCTCCTCTTCAAAACAAGGATGGTGGCTGCCAGCCACTGACAGGCTGTGGGAGGGGTATGAGGCTGGGTGAACTGTGCAAGCAAGGCTGAAAAAGTGCCTGTTTATGACGTAGCTTTGAGAGCCGCACACCATTTTCTCAACACAGATCAGTCCAGTTGTGTGAAGGAGGGACTGTACAGGGGCAGGGGTGACAGCATCTGGATTTTGAGGACATCTTGGAGGCTGGCAGCTACACTAAGAATGTGGTTTTTTGCTGAAGGGGAGGGAGAGGGAACAGATCTCATCTTGAATCGCTAAGCCTTCTGGGAGAGCTCCAAGGTCTGTCTTGGTGGATAGGGGGTGGTGACCATCACCTGGCAGTCTGTGGGTTCCCCTCCCCACTGTATTTCAGTTCCAGCCCCTCTGACAGCATTACACCAGGACTCTGCTTCTCTCCCATGGCTCATGGTGAAAGCCACAGAATATTGAGTTTATGGTGCTCTCTCTGGGCTGTGGTGGTAGAGGGAGAAACAAGGAAGGGAAATAAAACCCAAGAAAGGCATACACCTTCCTTTAAAGAAGCATAAAAAAGAAAATAATAATGGATATTTATTATTTAAATCCACATAGTTTATGTAGATACTCTTCAAAAGCTTGAGGTTATTGTTCCAGGTCATGGGGTTTGGGTGTCCCCCTTTGGTGACCCCACCCCAGCAGGAACAGGGTGGGTCATGCTTAGGTCTCCCTCATGCAGGAGAGGGCACGACAGTGGTCCTCACTAGTTTTTTGCTGTTTTTCTGTATGGAACTCAGTTCTGGTTCCAAGAAAAGTGTGACCTCTGGGAGCTGTTAGCACCCTTGGTTATGCTTATGCAGACGTAGATGTTTACCCTGTTCTCACCTTGAGTCTTGCTGGACTCCCACCCATTGGGTCTATGGGAATTCTGTGCTCCAGGGCGATTGTGGGCATTATCTGGGAATGGGTGGTCAGGAATGACCAACATTGTGCATATCTGCTCTGCTTATAGTATGTCCATGATCCTATCAGACTTCACAAACAAGTGTAAAGATACAGTAAGTAATAATTTTGAGATGATGTCATTGGTGTATTAAACCCTGTGGGGCCCAGGTACAAGGAAAGCGCATTGCAGGAGCTGCTGTATTGTGGGCTTCATGAATGCCATATGCAGATCATGTGCAGTTGTTATGGGAGAAACTCCATTCTTGCTGATGTGGTAAAGAATTATGGATCTCAGGTGTATTAGTGTGCAAACAGGGTTTATTGGTGATACATTCTCATGAAAGAGGATAGGTCTTGCTGAGGTGGGAGTGAAAGGCAAGATTGGGTGGCGAAGGCATCAGGCCCTTTGTCCTGAGGACTTACATAGTTGGCAGGATGGGGGTGAAGAAGTTACATATTGATTGACAGGTAAAAGTGGTTCCAGCTTCCCCAGGAGATGTGACTACCCAAACGTAGGTATGTGTGGAAGTCTGTTGGCCCGAATCCTTATCTTGCTGCAGACCCCATTTGGTCATCTCGTAAAACAGATACATGACAGAAGGCAGTTAAAGTTGAGGAAGTTATCCAAAGTTATTTATGGGCTCTCTGTAAGCACTAGGGACTCTCATAAAACAGATAGCGACCAGAGGCAAGGAATTAACCACATTTGTTTTATGGGCCTTTTCCTTGAGTGCTGTGGAGCCCCTCCCTTCTTCCAGGCCTTGGGATGAATACAGTTTCAAAGCCTTTCTTTCCCAGTTACTGGAAATGATACATAGAATTTCAGTGTGTTAACATGGGTTTTCTTATGATGTTGGAACATCTGGCAATAGAATTGGACCAGGCTAGGACTGCTGAGTTAGTGGGTGAGACATGTCTTCCTCATCCTCCCTGTCTTGGTTTACTATCTATCCTATGTAACATACCAGTTCAGGAAGATGCTATTCCTAGTGTCCATTCTCAGCAAGGGGTGTGTGAGGATCTTGTTTCGTAGGTTATTCTCAGTACCATCTGCTTGTGTTGAAGAGGCTTTGAGGATGCCTTGGCTCAGTGGGAGGGTGGTAATCTGGAGGGAGTCCCATCCAAGACCTCATGCCTCCTTGTCAGGACAGCTGAGTCTATGTGGGGAAAGCAGTAGTATCTGCTCAAATTCTGAACTTGGCTACAAGCCCCGGGCCTGTCCTTATCTTCTCTTGTCCAGCACTAAAGACCCGGAAGATACAGGCATTGAAAGCTGTTCAGCATGACTTGTGATCTCAGCAATCCTCTGTGCCAGATTCTGTCTGTGCTGACTCAGCTTTGAATATCAAACCAAAATGCTGGAGTTACCTTTTCCACTGTACAGACTTGGATGCAGGCAGAGAGAATTTGAGAATCTTGCCTTAGGTCACACAGCTGGAGAAGACAGAGCTGAGATTCAAGCCCACTATGGACTGATGTAGAATCTGTACGCTGCACATCATGAAATGCTGTCCCTGAAGGGGCATCGAGGAGTGTGAGGAAGACCAGGTTCCCAGATTGAGCATCCATGCACAAGCATACATCCCTCACTACCTTTCCCTCCTGAGGCTACAGAGGTTGGAGGAAACAAGGAGGAGAGCCAAGAAAAGCCAAAAGAGGAAGGTAAGCAGTCTATTAGGAGAACAGGCCCCATTTCCCAGGAGTCTAGGGAATTCCCTTCCCTGGCGAGTCTCAGATCCCTCTCTCTGGGCAGTAATTCAAGTAGATTGACTCCAGACTTACACACTTGCAGGAGTTGAATTTCTGTGACTGGGAATATGAGTTCTTTGTGGCCCTTTTAGAGCTCTCTGCTTCCGGTGATGGGGGGAATGAGGTATGTGGGTTTCATATCTGCATGGAGACGAAATTTTTTAGAATAGGATGCCAAAAAACCATATTGGAAATTGGTGTTGACATACCCACATCACTTAAGGAACTGTTTGTCCATCTCATCTCTTTTCATGAAACTGCAAGATTTGTTTAATCAGTTACTTCTGTACTATTTACAGTCTTGGGGAGGATAAGGGGCCATAGGCTTCCTATTGCTATTGATACACAATTTAATGCTGATGACTCACTCACTCCACCTGCAAACTTAGGGCTTCTCCCCTGAGTGTGTCCTCTGGTGACTGGTGAGATGTGACTTCTGTGTAAAGCCCCGCCCACACTCCCTGCAAACATAGGGCTTCTCCCCTGAGTGTGTCCTTTGGTGGTTGATGAGACTCGACCGCTGTGTAAAGCCTCGCCCACACTCCCCGCAAACATAGGGCTTTTCCGGTGAGTGTGTCCTCTGGTGGCTGATGAGATTCGACCGCTGTGTAAAGTTTCGCCCGCAGTCCCCGCAAACATAGGGCTTCTCCCCCGAGTGTGTCCTCTGGTGGATGATGAGACTCGACCGCTGTGTAAAGCCTCGCCCACACTCCCCGCAAACATAGGGCCTTTCCCCCGAGTGTGTCCTCTGGTGGCTGATGAGACTCGACCGCTGTGTAAAGCCTCGCCCGCAGTCCCCGCAAACATAGGGCTTTTCCCCCGAGTGTGTCCTCTGGTGTATGATGACATTCGACTGCTGTGTAAAGTTTCGCCCGCAGTCCCCGCAAACATAGGGCTTCTCTCCTGAGTGTGTCCTCTGGTGTATGATGAGACTCGACTTCCGTGTAAAGCCTCGCCCACACTCCCTGCAAACATAGGGCTTTTCCTGTGAGTGTGTCCTCTGGTGGTTGATGAGACTCGACTTCCATGTAAAGCCTCGCCCACACTCCCCGCAAACATAGGGCTTTTCCCCCGAGTGTGTCTTCTGGTGTATGATGAGATTCGACTTCCGTGTAAAGCCTCGCCCACACTCCCCGCAAACATAGGGCTTTCCCCCCAAGTGTGTCCTCTGGTGTATGATGAGACTCGACTTCCATGTAAAGCCTCGCCCACACTCCCCGCAAACATCGGGCTTTTCCCCCGAGTGTGTCCTCTGGTGTGTGATGAGACTCGACTTCCATGTAAAGCCTTGCCCACACTCCCCGCAAACATAGGGCTTTTCCCCCGAGTGTGTCCTCTGGTGTGTGATGAGATTCGACTTCCGTGTAAAGCCTCGCCCACACTCCCCGCAAACATAGGGCTTTTCCCCCGAGTGTGTCTTCTGGTGTGTGATGAGATTCGACTTCCGTGTAAAGCCTCGCCCACACTCCCCGCAAACATAGGGCTTTTCCCCCGAGTGTGTCCTCTGGTGTCTGATGAGATGGGACCCATCGTTAAAGCCTTGCCAATACCCTCCATGCTTGATTGGTGCAATTCTTGACATTCCTACTTTCACAAATAACTTGCCTATGTCCTCTGGATTGTCTTTCAGGCCTCTACTGTGCTCTTCATCCATCATTCTCTCATGCTCACTAGAGCTCTTCATTCGTTCTTTGGAAGGTTTGGAAAAGGGTCTTGAAATTCTCCTCTGACTGATCCTTTTAAGCAAAGGTTTGGACCTCTTTTTGACCTCTTGATCTTCAGCTTTATCATTCCAGCTGTGTGTATTAGTATGTTGCTGCTGGTGATTCTGATCCTCTGGGCAGGGTTCCTCTCCTTGGAGGTGTTTTCTTGCAGACGTTCCTGGGGGGCTCTGAGAAGGATGATTGGATTTCACATGTTGGCTGAGGAATTTCTGACAGGAGAAGGCCAGAGAGCAGGAGGGGCATGGGTGGATCTCAGATTTTGATTTTGCTGAAAGAGAAAGTTTTTGTCAAGGTAGAGGTTGACAAGAATGCCTGAGCTGTAGATTTGTCTCCTGGTAAGACCTACCTCATGAATCATCCTTATTGTGTTGACAGTGCAAACCCTGTCTCCTACAGAGTGTTCATTCACTGTCTATTTTCCTTTTAATTTTTGTGCAGTACATCTTCATTAGAAATCCAGGAAGCCCATATCAAGGGTCTTTTCTAATATTATCCAGACTAGGGACTCTCAAGAAGCATCAGAGGCCATTGCACTCCCTGTATGGATGGAATTGCAGTGACCTTTCCATCTATGTGTATCTTCTAAGTCACATTAAAGAGGAAAATCATAGGCCCCGACTAGGAATTGCTTCTCTTTCAGTTTTGCAAAACAATAGAATAAAATGTCCTTCCTCAAGCTTCACACCAAATATTCATGATTCATTTCACTCAGCGTTAGCCCATTTTAAGTATACTAAGAAGTCCTGTTTCAAAATATTTTTCCAACCATACTTCTTAGATGCCTGACTACTATTCCTCTCTGGCCAGTCCACCATCCTCTCTCACTTGGAGATGAAATTATCTCTGAGGGGATTCCTCACTGGAGTTTATTTTCTAAAAATTTACAAAGCATAATCTTAGAAGAGAGAACATGCTTCTCTATAGCTGAAGAATGCAGTTTCACTCAGTAAAGTCCCCAGTGTCTCAACTTGGATCATTTCCAGGCTGCTAAGCATCAACCTGAACTCAATTCTTACCCTCTATGCTGAGGCTGAGACCTGAGTGACCCTCAACCAGCTCAGTACCTCACCTCTTTTCTTCCCTGCACTAGCTGCTCCCTGTGCCTGGGATCCTTTGCTCACAGGTATTTTTGTAAATGTCATCTCCTAAGAGAACCCTTTCTGGACCATCTGCCACACCGCACCTTCCCCTCACACTGATCCCTAGGCACTTGTCCTGGATTTTCTCCAAAGCACTAATCACTGTGTACTATGATGGACATACAGGCACGTGTACCTGGGTTTCCCTCCTTCACCCGTCAGCTACCCAAGAGTAGTGATTCTGATCCTCATGTTAATTGATATTTCCAGATCCCAGGACCCTGTGTAGCACAGAGTAGGAACTCATATGACAATTAACTGAAAAAAAAAATGAATTTGTCCCACAAACTGAAAGGTGACAAGTTCAATTCCCAGTCAGGGTACATGCCAGGGTTGTGGGTCAATTGAGGGTGTGTGAGAGATAACTGATTAATGTTTCCCTTGAACATTGATGTTTTTCTCCCTGTACTTCTCCCTCCTTTCCACTCTCTCCAAAAATTGCGGGGAAGGGACGAAGTGGAGAAGGGAGAGAGGGAGAGAGGGAGAAAAACATCAATGCGTGGTTGCCTCTTGCATGCCCCCCCACCAGGGACCTGGCCCGCAACCCAGGCCGGTGTCCTGATTGGGAATCAAACTGGCCGGCACACAATCGAGCGAGCCACACCAGCCAGGGAAAACTCTAAAAAATAATGAATGCCTGTAAAAATATACATTTTATTTAGAAGCATGGAGGCAAATTAAGAAGAAACAGCTATAAAAGTGTCAGAAAAACTGCTTTGATGAGAGAGCTGGTTAGTGCCAAAGCTTTTGAAAAAAAAATTTTTTTGCCTCTAAAACTGTTGGCATGATATGCTGTTGTGTATTTTGTGCATGAAATATTTTAAGAATAAGAAATATAAAAAAAAATAAAATCTTTTCATAAGAGTCAAAGGCATATGAAGTGAATCGTGAATTTTTGAAGTATCTGATGTGAAACTTTACTGACTTTAGAGTGGATTTTACTCTACCTAAGAGTTGGATCATGAACATTTCTGAGGAGAGTTCTATTTTTTCTTTCTGTTTTGAAGGAGAACAGTGGTTCTCACCTTTTCTGTCTGTGAGCTCGCTCTTCCACTTGCTGCCCCACTTGATGCCCAGCTCCTGGCCGTACTCGTCTCCGTACCAGACCAGCAGCTCACAGCCCGGCCTGATGACCCGGCAGGTTCGGTAGAAAATCTGCCTGTGATATTGAAAGGCCACCAGGTTCTGCTCTTCATCATCCCGGGCACAGTTCACATACCTGGGAATGAGGCAGATGAAAGGAAAGAAAACCACATTGAAGAGTTCCCAGTACCTGTTACATCATGTCTTCCTCCTCACTGATTCTTTTTTAAAAAAGATTTTGTTTATTTATTTTTAGAGAGGGGAAGGGAGGGAGAGAGGGAGAGAAACATCAGTATGTGGTTGCCTCTCACACGCCCCCTCCTAGGGACCTGGCCTGCAACCCAGGCATGTGCCCTGACTGGGAATTGAAATGGCCACCCTTTGGTTCGCAGGCTGGTGCTCAATCCACTGAGTCACACACAGGGCTCCTCACTGATTTTTAAGGCCCCCAGGCTCTGATGTTGCCCAGTGCCCTTAATGCTCCTGGGGAATCTTCTGTTCGGTGTCTGAGAATCTGTCAGAATGTCACCTGAATCCCTGTCTCCAAGTCCTGCTTGCAGTGCTAATCCTTCCTAATACCATTTTCTAAAACCCAATTCTAGACTTAACATCCACACTGATTGGCCATAATATCCAGTTATCTCTAGCTCCTCTAAACTCTAAGTCAAATTGTTTCGTACCATAGAACCTTGTGCTCAATCTAGTGCTCTGCTTCTAAATTACCTCACTAATTATTCAATACTCAGCCCAAGTCTATCTTCTCTTGAGAGGCCTTTCTCCAACCCCCCCTACACTTTATTTAGGGTACCATTCACTTGCCTACCTAAGGTTACCATAGAAAATTGGAGGGTTTTTTGTCTTAGTAAAATGACAAAGAACAGTAAAAGATGGTTCACATTCTCTTAACCCTGATAAAAAAGAACCCCTCAGGAAAGGGATCCATGACCGTTCTTCTGCAGTCCTCAGAACCCACTTCTAGTTTGAAGTGAAGCTGGATGCTTTGGTGCCTCCACTGGTTCAGGCCATCCTTGGTTTATGCTACCCTGACACTGTGCACTTCTTGGAAATTATAGTTAAATGTTTCTAAAAGTAATGGTTTCATGTCTGTCTGCAAGAAGTCCTCAATAAGGACTAGGGTTGTGTGATCTGTTTAAGTAGTGTATTCCTTCACCTAAACTGGAATATAATAGGTGCTTAGTTAATGTATATTTGATTACTTAAACTGTAATAGTGTCCCTAGTGAATCTAGGCTCTTCAAGGTCCTTTGCAGTGCCCAGATTGTGTCTAGCAGAGAGCTTTATATTTTGAGGACATATGCTGTGCTTTTTTTCTGATATGTCTCCTGATAGGAAAGAACATTGTATGGAGAAAAAGAGGAAAAAAGGATTAAAGGAGACCATTGAGTGAGGCCTGATGAGAGGTAAAGATATATGGGCCTGTAGGGGATGAGTGTCCTCTCTGACCCAGAAACCTATTGACCTTACCTCATCCAGTTGGCCCAGGATTTATCTTTTCCATCCACATACTCATAGCAGTTTCTCCCTTTGGTTATCTGCATTTCAGAAAAGAATTTAAAGACTTTTTTTTTTTTTTTTTTTGGTGGGAAGGTAATTGTCATAATTATTTTACTGTACTGTCATCAAAGCTCTTTCAGCCTGAGTGGGGATTCAACTGCCAGTTGTGACATGATATTTTTCTTTCTCATCGTCTACACATGAGTCAATTTGTCCAATCAGAGCAAGAGCCCCACTAGGGAGGGAGCCGTTCCTTTGGGTCTGTACCACTTTGCTCCCACTTACCCTCTGATCATTAAACAGGAGGTCTGTGTTCATGTAAAGTCTAGTCAGTACACAGAGCTAACCATATTTATCCACATCCATGTTTAGCGTGTAGGAGGTGAGATCCCTCCAATCCTCAAAAGGAATGTGGGAAGCCAGAGGGCGGGGGAAGAGGTGAATACTTCTCACCAGCCAGGAGTATCCGCTCTTGGCTGCCTCTTCATCTTCTGTGATCTGTCCTTCATAAGGGCCAAAATGCAGACCCACTGGCAAATCTGCTGCCTCATTCCACACTCCAAGCCCAGCCTTTGGGATGCCTGATGGTTTGATTCTCAACCCAGGCGGCAGAGTGAGGGCTGAGCGGTTGGGATGCCCTTTGTCCACTGCACTGTCTTTTACAAATGTAGGGGGTCCGTGCACAGCACAGCTGTCAATGAAGAAGTTCTGACACTTTTCACAATCTGGAGGCAAGAGCAACAGGGATTAGGGAAGGTATAGTGCATGTTCCTGGACACAAAGAGCTTTGGAGAGAGTCTGGCACTCACATCATTGTGAGTCATTCCTGTACTCCAGGCCACTAGAGGAAAGGAATGATTTGGGGGAACAAATGACTAGATGAAAATATTGTATCATAACATGCTTCTTTGTGAGGGTTACTTACAAAGGTGGTCATCATCCTGGGGCTCGTTGACCTCTTGGTACACATGGCCCTTTCTTTCTCGTAGATTATACATCTTCAGTTCAATCTCCTTTCTCCTGAGATCTAAGTGGGAGAAGGGCAGGTGAGGGAAGTTGGTGGGGTCTGGAGTGTTAGTTCCTGTTCTGTCAGAAAGCACACAGTCTCCTCCCATCAAATTATTTCTTGTCCTTTTTCATACTCTGGTATTTTACTCCATTAACTATTGGTTCAGAAGACTAAGACTCCACACCAAATTCAGATGGCTGATTAAATTTTACTTTCTAGATCTTTCCATTACCAGGTTTAACTTGCCAACCTTTAATCATTCATAAAATATTTATTGACTGCACATTATGTGTTAGGCATAGAGTAAAGGCCTGGACATATACCAGTAAAGTGTGGTTGCTATTATCACAGATGGATTTATTGGCCAACTTTCATGTGTCAATTGTATTAAATTTAATGTTTTCAAACAATTTATGAGTTCTGTATCCTTATCTTCATTTTATGCATTGGTATTCAGGAGCTCAGAGATTTTATAAGATTTGCCCAAAGCTCCACGCCAACGTTTGTTAGTCTCAGCTTAGTCTAGCTTAAATCCAGGCCTAACTAAAGTCCACCCCACATACCGAGGTCATACTTCTCAGCCCTTCTATAGGACATAGAGGAACTAAAGTTTCCAAATTATTTTCTCTTACCCAGCTTTTGTCTAGTGTGCTGTGCAAAGGTACATGCTTCTCCAGGAAGGGACACTGGTTTCTCAGCATGCTCTGAGCCACTTTCAGTCAGCAAATTTCCTGTTCTTGACAATTCCTTCAAACTATATTCATTGCTTAACAGCACCTTGGATGTTGCCTTCTGTATAAGAATCACATATTTAAAGATAATGTATTTTATTTTTTAGGGCTTATGATTCATTCTCACATGCTTATCTTTAATACTTCAACCTTTGGAAAGACCTAGGGAGAATGAATATTAGGAGGGATGGGGCCAATGTGGGCAATGAATCCAAGATTAGAACCTATGCCTTATGGCTCTTTTCTTCCAACTGTCTCTACAATATTGAGAGTCAAGGGTATTGGGAAGAGAATAAAGAAGTAGTTGGCAGAAACATATGTAGACAATAAATGATATGATGGTAAAATTGGCGATATTTTGGAAAGAATATCTGTACTGAGATTAGCTGGTTCACACCAATTCTGTTTGAATAAGGCTGCACCAGTAGCTACTTGTCTTCAGTTTCCTGATCTATAACATACTAATTTTTAATGTCATAGTGAATTATGAAATAGTGGTCACCAAAGTGGTTTTTGAGTTGTGTAATACAGTACAAATGTGAGATTACAGTCCTGCTATCAATTTACCCCTCAGCTGTCTCCATATTTCAAATCTCACAGAAATTACCTTCAGCATTCAGAAATCATCTTCTAGTTTAATTTATAATTGTGAAGTCAGTCATTCAGCAAATATTCAGGGGGCCTTCAGGGGCCCTGATCTGGGCCTATGACTTCTGAGAAGACTCAGGTATGGGCCAGGCTCTCAGAGAGGTCACAATGCCGAGGTAGGTAGCCTGAACAAGTGATTCTAAACAGGAGAGTGGCCTGATTAGAACTCAGAGAAAGAAGCGGTTACATCACCATGCAAGAATGGGCATTTGAAATCAGTTCCAGAAGGATGAGTTTCTACTGAATGGTGTGCAGCCTATATGAATTCCTTAAGTCATGTTATTATGTGTCGTTTTTTTCTTTTTTGAATCTTTATGGGTGTTTTATTCAGATGGTCAGCAATCTGAGAAGACGGGGGGGGGCGGGGGGGTTTGTACCCTAACAGACCACCTTCTATTTGTTGTTTCTTAATCATCAAACCTGAAGCTTCCCAGGGGTGGGAGATACTTTCTGATCCTGGGGATTTTACATTCTTCTTTATCTGAGACCATCCACCATACAAATAGCCTACACATCCGTATGCTTTCCTTAGTCAGAGGTCTTAGTGCATCTTTCACTTCAGCGCAGCAAAAAAGAACTTCATTTGAAATCATCGGTCAGATGAATGATGTAATGACATAAGGATAAGACATTGTAAACTTTAGAAAACTATGAAAGGTGTATTTTTTATCTTTTAGAAAAGACTTGGTTTATTTTTTGGAGAGAGGGGAAGGGAGGGAGAAAGAGAAGAACAGAAACATCAATGTAAGAGACAAACTTTGATCTGTCACATCTCACACGCACCCCAACTGGGGACCTGGCCCACAACCCAGGTATGTGCCCTGACCAGGAATCAAACCGGCGATCTTTTGCTTTGCAGAATGATACCCAACCAAGTCACGCCAGCCAGGGCACAACTATGAAAGTTTTAATGAGTTCGTATTAGATTGGACTACCACTGATACTGTGATCTTAGACACATAATCAAACATTTCTGTATCTCTAAAACCTCACTTTCCTCATCATAAATGGTGACAGTTATAGTACCTACCTCACTGGGTTGTTGTAATGTTTAAGTGAGTTTATTCACAGAGTTCTTAAAGTCTGAAACATGGTGAAAACAAAACAAATGATAGTTACTATTGTTGCTGTAGTAATTAACTATTAAGATGATGATGAGCCCTGGCTGGTGTGACTCAGTGGATTGAGTGTTGGCCTGCAGACTGAAAGGTCACCATTTCCATTCCTGGTCAGGGCACATGCCCGGGTTGTGGACCAGGTCCCACAGCTGGGGCCGGGCGACAGGCAACCAATCCATGTTTCTTTCCCTGTCTTTTTCCCTCCTTTTCTCCTCTCTCTAAACAATAAATAAAATATTTTTAAAAAGATGATAATACTGGACAATGTGGTGAAGAGACCAGAAAAGGAAAGCAGCAGTTTGTAGGATACCTTTTACATTTTCCTACTCTTACCTGCATTTGTATCCATGAGGAAAAGTTTATTGTCAACAGGATTTGGGAAATACTTACCTTCTGATGTTTACTCTGTTCCTTTCTGAAGGCCACCCAAGAAGGTTTGACTAAAAGGTAATGAGAAGTCAGTGTTTTGGTTGGTAAATGTTCCTAAAATCTCAAGAGTCTTATTAGGGACACAGAATTCTGAATGACTAGTCCAAGAACAAGCCAAGGATGATTGGAAAATGTTTTCTGAGGTATTATTAAGGCCTATGCTTCTACTGGGGGCATCAACTAATTTCCTTAAAATGTTAATCCAAAAATAGACAAAGTGTTATCTATGCTTCATCCTATGTTCATAAAGTATCTATTACATTTACTGAAAAATAAATTGGCCTTTCATGACAAAAATATAATAAAAGTAACTGCACAGAAACTCCATTTTTAAAAATGTAACCTTTTCTCCTTTCTGTTTTCTTCATTCAAATTGGCCTTGTCCAGGCTAATGGCACCATGACCACCTCGCCTCCTTCCTCTGTTATCCTTCCACCTTTGCACATACTAGCCATCCATGCCCTTCCTTAATCATTAAATTCTGGTCAGCATCAACAGTCTGTTGACCACAGAAACAGAATTTCAGTCAAGTTAAAGATTACATCTTGACTTCAGCGGTGTTTCAACCCAAGATCCATGAAAGTGGACTGATCCTATCAACCAAACACTCATGATACTAGACAGAGGGATACCATGGCCGACATCAGGAAATGATATAATAATTAACCACTCCCTACCCTAGCCCATGACCCCCAACTCCCTTAATCACTATAATTAATACTTTTTTCCGTATGTCTCCATGTAAGCCATCAGGTAGCCAGGTGTCAGAACACTCCTCACCTGCCAAACCTTCCTCCCTCTCTTGTGATGACAACTATTCTGCATTAGTTATTTCTTATTCACTTTTATATTTTTATATACTTCCTGCTTATTACTGTATCTAAAGTATATGATTATTTTGTACACTTGAAAAGTTTATATGAATAGCCCCTTACTCTACAATACACTATTTCGCATCTTGCTTGTTTGCTGAACAAGCAAACCCTGTTCTCTTGTTAGCTCCTGAGATGCAGCCTCACCTAAACCAGGTCGGTGTCAGGAGGGCAGCTCTGGTTCCTCCTGACTCTTACCTTGCTGCTTTGGAGTCCATTCTTCATCAGAATCTTCAGGGTTCTCCTCCTGCAGCTTGGTAGTCTGCCTGCGGTGACACATGAAAGTTGGTCGAGGGACCCTGAGACCTGGAAAGAAACAAAACCTTTGTCCTGAAAGCAAAGAGCTTGAAGGAAGAACAAACACCGCAAAGCCAGTGTCACTAGCTTCCCATGGGGTGGGAGAATCTAAAACAAGTTGCTGGGAGCTCTATGTTGTCTGGGTCAGCCCTGCTCTGACACAAAGGAGCAAAATTCCCCCTGATCGGTGTCCTTATAGGAGGTAGCTACAGGCAGATAGAGCCACCTGAGCAAGAGCCAGCCTAGTAGCCTCTTAAGTTTACCAGGCTCCTCTGATCCAGCACCTCCCGGTTACCTAGGCTGATGAGCACATCGAAATTCCTTTTCACGTTCCTGTACCGGCTTTTCTCCCAGTCTCCCATCACTGCCCACTCTTCCTTGGAGAAGTAGAGGGAAATGTCTTTCAAAGAATCTTTGCCCTGGAGAGGATAGTCGATAACATCAGTCAGTCAGTGATGCAGGTGAGAGCGCAGCGGGCCTTCTCTTTCCGCGGGGTGCGGGGAGAGGGCTGGGGCTTCCGGTGGTCTCTGTGCCGCTAGGACTGATCCGCGGTCCCTCAGTTGTGTTCGGGGTCCCTGAGCGGCAGTTCCTCCGGGCTGTGTCCCGGTTGCCTGATCGCACACTGGGCCTCCTTCCACTGCCCTGACGCTGCCCTGCCACGCTGCCGCCGAGTCCTGTTCTCCCCTCGAGCGCTCCGCACTGACGCAGAGAGGGCCGACCTTCTGGGCGGGCGTCTGCGGAGCTCGGGGGCCGCTCTGTCTCCAGCCCTGTCCCCAGGCCTCCTGCCGACCCCACGGCTCACCTTTGGCTTCCGCCCTGTTCTCCCAGCTTCTCCCTCGGGGCTCTCCTGCGGACACCGGTCGGGGCCCATGGTCTCCCAGCGCCGAATCGGAGGCGCCTGCGGAGTGAGAAGGCGCCGAGAGGGCTGAAAGCCTTTCTCCCCGTTGGCAGGGCGGGCCCGGGGCCTGGCTGGGGCGAGGCGGAGCGGCCGGGCAGGCCCACCCGCGGCGGCGCGCACGGGTTCCCGCCCTTCCCTCCGCGCGGCCGCCTCGGCGCAGGCTCCGGAGGCCGCTACCTGGGCGTCCGAGGGGCCCCAACGGCTGGGCGGGCCTGTGGCGGCGACAGGAAACGTGCTTTTCTCAGGAAAAGGGTTCGGGAGTTGCACCCGGGGTTCTGAGGAAATCTGCACGTGGCCCAGGCACAGTCTCTGGGAGACGGACCTCTCTCGGGCCGAGGGCCTTGGGGTCCCTCAGGACAAGATCTGGGGCCTTTCCGGCCGAGGGCATTTACGGTGCTCGGGGCGCGAGGATTCGAGACCTCGGAGGCTGAGGAGATCTGGGGTTTCTCATTAAGGGGCGTTAGGTTCCCCACCACGGAGCGTCCCGGACGACGGCATTTAGGGTCTATGACTGTGGGGAGCCTTGGTCTTTCCGGGCGAGCTGGATGTAGAGCGCCCCGGGCGGAGGGGAATTGTTTTCATTTCCCCCAGGGTGTCCGGGGGTCAGGCGTTGGGGGATGAAGTGTTTATCCGGGCGAGGAGATGTGGGGTCCTCCGGGTTAGCCCTCGAGGCTGAAGGGACTTGCAGCCTCTCAGGATGAGGGCATCGCGGCTCCCTTAGGCTGCACTTCGAAGGTCTCGGGCTAAGGGTCCGCGTGGCAAGGTCCTCCACTTACCTGTCAGTCTCCGGGATCCCTGCGGCGCAGCCCACCTCGGCGGAACGTCCTCTCAGCCCCCGCGCTTCCCGCCCTCGTGAGGTGTGAGGAGGCGGAGAGCGAGGTTCCTGCCTCTACAGCCGCTGGGCGCAGCCCGCCAATCGGTCTGCGATCCCAGGCCCCTGCCCGCCAATGGGCGGTCAGGATAAGCTGATGGGGCGGGGCAGGGGCGGGGTCAGCCTGCCAGTCCTGGGCTCGGGACCGGCCGGCGGAAGACCCGCCCCACTCCGCCGGGATTGGCTACTGGGCCCGGCAAGGGCCGGTCACGCAGCCTGCGGCGAGGACCGCAGTTAGGCGGTCGACTTTGCTGGTTTTCCAGCGGTTGGTGAGGGACCGGCCCGCAGGAGCTGGGGTCCTCGAGCCCGGGCAGGTCTTTAGGGTGGAAGTGACCTCCCTGCCGCCTGATAAAGAGTCTTAGTTCCACCAGACTGCAGTCGGCATCCCCAACCTTCCTCTCGGCGCGTCCGTGCTCTCTCTTGCCAAACCCGTTGTCAGCGAGAACTGCAGGAGCAGGGCGGACGCGGTCAACTGTTTGCCAGTAAATTCTGACCACTCAATTCGTAGACACGACATAAGTTCCAGAGGGTTCAAAGATTTAAACAACAAATGAAATAATAAGTATACTAGAAAAAGCAGTGGGAGAATTTTACATCTCAAAAAAGTGGCGTTTTGGGTAATAGGTATGTTTAAGTAACTCAGGTCTAAAAATATCTCAGGAATAGGAAGTCACGATAAAACCGAACAAAGCTAAATCAAACAAACAAAAAATTCCCGCGAAAAACTTACAAGTATTTTGCATATAAATAAATTATCTTTGAGCGCCGGCCTGCGAATCGGAGGGTCTCTGGTTCGATTCTCAGTCAGGGCACGTGCCTGGGTTGTAGGCCAGGTCCCCAGTAGGGGGCGCATGAGAGGCAGCCACACATCGCTGTTTCTCTCCCTCTCTTTCTCCCTCCCTTCCCCTCTGTCTAAAAATAAATAAATAAAATCTTCAAAAAATTTTTTTTTCAAGAAAATGTAAATCTCAAAAAGAAAAGATGTTAAATTTAAGGACAGGGGTCCACAGAGCAGGGTGAGTTTGGCTGCTACTGGCTTTCACGTGATAAAGCGGGAAGAGTGTTTCTGGTCCTTCTCTTGCTTTGAGCACATAAACTTGGTTTCCACGGATTGGAAATAAGCCAACTAAGTATAACTATTACTGTGAAATTGCATAAAGGAAAACCTTACTAAAGTGGAGTTGGTAGGTCAGAGGGGGTACTTTCACATATCAGTCGGGGTCAATGACAGGAAAAGTCGTCCATCACAGGCCCCAGCAGGAAGACATTCCGTGTGTCTCCCAGGAGAAACTGACTCACTCGGCAACTCAGCCAGAGATAAACCATCATTACCCTGAACGGCTTTTCTCCAACGGAATTTCTTTTCAAATATCCCCTCTAACTTCCTCCATTTGCCCTCTAAAATAACGTTCCTCTCCTTTCCTTGTGGAGCGTGCCTATGACTTTTGCTACAGCTTGCTTGTGTTAAATTGCAATTTTTTTTTTTTTACTGTTTCTTGATAAATCCATTATTTGCTGGTAAAATAACTGACTGCTTTATTTTTAAGGTCAACATAATTTGGCAGCCTGTATGAGGATCCAGAGAAGACTCCTGAAATCTCTGAGGCTGATGAGCAAGCAGGTGCAGTGTCCTTGTTCTGAAAGACTAGGGTAAGGGTCTTTTGGTTCAGACTCCCCAGTGATCATTTTGAGAAAAGCGATCCAGAGATAACATCCTTATACCCTCTGACCCAGAAAATCCACTTTTCACAATTTAGCCCCTGGTCTGGTAGCTCAGTTGGTTAGAGTGTCCTGCCTATGTGCCAACATGGTGAGTGCGATTTCCAGTCAGGGCACATACAAGAGGCAACCAATGAATGAATACATAAGCAGAACAATCTCTCTCTCCCTTTTTCAAATTAATAAATGGAAGCAAAAGAAAAGCATTAGAAACTTCCACCTGGTTATGTTTCCCTGTGTATGAAGTGAAGTATGTTTAATGTATTTTATCCAAAATTTATATAACAAAAGATATAATTAAAAAATTTTTCGGTAGGAGAAAATTTGTTAAATTATGGTTTGCTCACACTGTCAAATATACAACATAAAAAATGAGTGAAGATATATGATATTTCATTAAAGAAATAAAGCATAGTGAGGTAGTTCTAATTGATTTTAACAGAGAATAATTTCTAAGTAATTCTGTTATGTGAGAAAAGTATCATGCAAAACAAACTATGTTTTAATAAAAAACAAGCAGAAGACATGTTGAAAGGACAGGGACTAGTCATAGCGATCAGGGTCTGGGCGATGTGCAGGGGGAAATTTGCTTTTCCTTTATGCCATTTGGAATGTTGTGTCATTTATTTTTTCCTTTACTTAAAGAAACCATCTAAAGTATTTTTTGAAGATAACTTAAAAGAATGGGTGAAAAGTAGTAGGCGGTGTGTGTGTGTGTGTATATATATATATATATATATATATATAAATATAAAAGACTCAACAAAAATTCTGTACAACCTCATTAAATCCAGTGGCCCACGCTGCCTTCCTTATCTGATTAACACCTTGATCACCCAAAGTGTCCAGTTTGCATCCAAAGCTGTATTCCAGCAGGAAAATTTTCATAGTTCAAAATATACTGTGTCACATAGTCACTGTGGGGTTGGTTGTTTTTCTTTTTTTTGAGAAATGAAAACAATTTATAATCAACACAATGAATTTCATATTTAAGTATTGGATCCAAGGTCATTTATAGAAACGCTATTAAGAATATTATAAGCCCTGACTAGCATGGTTCAGTTTCTGTGTGTGGCATCTGGCATCTAGGGTTCATTGCCCAGCTCCAACTCTGGAGTCTGACTGTGGGATCTTGGTTATGGATGTGGGTTCTGTTTCCAAGGTCTGTGGCCTGAGGTTGACTCTATTTGGCTATGGGTCTTGGATCTGGAGTCTCTCTGAGTGTGGCTTCTTGTCCCGTCTTTGTGTGTGGGGTGCATGTGCATTTCTATAAATTTTTGGTGTTGACTCCAATTCAATGCCAACAGGGATCCCAAAGAAGAAAGAAACTTTAGTTTCAATAGCTCAATTTTAATATAGAATGGCCGTGAGTACAGAATCGTTAAGAAGCTCAATGTTGTTACAGGTGAACTATGAAGCAGCACACTGTGGATCAACTCAGTAGCGCTGCTTCTTAATTATGCAGCATCATGGCTGTGGAGGCCCTGAAGTCAGACAGCCTGGGGCACATTTCCTCTCAGGCTATGCTGCTCACCGCTTCTCTGCTCATCTTCATGCGTTCTGGTCTAGTCCTGTCGTTTCTTCTTTGCTCTGCTGCCATTGCACATGAAGAAATGAAAATGGAAAAAGAAGCCCCTCTGAATGATGGAATGACACTGGGTGAGCAAAGAAAAGGCCTCTGGTGTTGTCACCGCAACAGACCAGATCATTATTATTTTTAAATTAACCCATGTTTTCCTCTAGTACTTTTGCAGCCCAAACTGAGAATGCCTTTTTTTGGTTACCGCTTACTTAAATTATATAGAAAAATAAAACTAATAGAAAAATCCTACCCAAACAGGTAATAACTGCTATTATATTAAGTATATACCCTTCTAAATGGGCAGGGGGGTCTTGGGGTGGGAGGTGGGGGGGGTAAGGGTAGGAGGTGGGGGGTGGGATGGACAGAGGAAGGCAAAGGGGAAAAATTTGGGAAAATGTAATAGAATAACAATAAAAAGGATTTAATTTAAAAAAGTATCTACCCTTCCAGACATCGCTACTTGCACATTTCCATTCTTCCCCCTTCTCTGGATTAAATTTATTACTCTGGGTTTGTAATATGATGCCAAATTTGTGAATTTTCAGGTTTCCCCCCTAATGCATGGATCTATCAAGGCACTCTCTGTTTTTTTATGTACTATTTATATTATCATTCAGTTCAAATTACTTTTTAACTGTAATTGTAATTTAATTTTTGGGTTTTTTTAGATGTGCATTGTATAATTTTTAAATATAAGGACTGTCTAATAACCTTTTATTACTGATTGCTAGATTAGGTGTAATGAGAGTGAAAAACATACTTTATGTAATTTCAATCCTTTTGATTTTTTTTGAAACCTAC